CGCGAGCCTCACACGCCCGTAGGGCGTGTGAGGCGAGAGAAAAAAACCGACTGTCCGTTTTCCATACAATGAGTTCGTTCCGACCAGGGGGTTCAAAAATGTCGTCGAGCTGTCAAAAAACTGTTCGCAACTCCGCCCTCTTTGTGAATTTGATAGACTCGCGTGTTATTATTGACGCTGTAATTCAGTAATTCTAAAGCAGTTTTTAGTGTTGCTTCCCTGTGAAATGTAGTGTATATAGTGAGAATGTAGTATATATAGTGGAGGATCAAAAATGAGTGAAAGTGGCAGTACGACAACGAAGCCTGTGCCTGCTCCTCGAAGAGGGAGAAAGCCGAAAGAGCCGTGGTCTTTGGACAAACTGTAGAATGTGCGGCTGTTTTTTCAAAACACAGTTCGGCAGTTTTACGAATGGATGGATAAGCTCGGAAAATGCGTTTGTTGCGCCTACCAGAAAAGGGGAAACGTTACCAAAGTGGGCCGACCTACTGAAAACGAACTTTTCGTTGTCCTCGAGGAAGGAGAATCTTTCTCCACAAGAGCAGTTCGCTCTCCGTGCGGAACAACGGTTAGAAATTGCCCCGGAAAACTGCACGGCGATGCCGTTCGCAAATTAGAGAAGAACTGAACACGCCAACTGACAATGAATAATTATTGCGATTGAAAAGAATGAGTATATCCCCTCATTCCAAACCACGTCTTGGTGATTTAGCTCTGTAAATTACTATCTGTGAGAATTTAAAATCCTGCCAAAAACGCTAACAATCTGGGCCCAGCGTGACAAAACATTGCAGGAAAAAGTCACTTTCACGGACACAAAGAAAATTGCTTAAAATTATTCAAATCCAGGAGGCACTTTGGAGAAATAAAACAACCTAAACCCTTAATCAGCCGCAATGAAGAGCTTTACATTTCTAAAGGGGCCAAGAAAGAAAATACTCTTGCGTCAGAAGGCAAATCATGCCTACCAGATGCGTGTCACGACCTCTCAGTATGAAATATATTTAATAAGCGGCCAAAATTCACATTTGCTTAGTCAAAACGTTTTCCTCCAAAGCATAATCTACTCGACAGAGAAAACAATTCATTGGAACAAGCGGCATGTTTGCATGAGGTAAAAGTCGTGTGTTTCCTACCGATCCCGCTTTTTTAGCCAGGCAAGATAACAATGACGGTCGGCCGTTGCAAGGAACTTGAAGAACTCTTTGCATGAACAAACATCCGATAAATAAGGCTTTTGTCAAATCCTGTTGGTAGAACACAGAAAACATCCTTTCCCCTGAGTAGCAACTCCAAAGCTTCCCTCTGCTCCGATTTTAAAACAAATCCCAATTCTTGCGAGCAAATCCAGGCGATCAACATCTATAAAGCGGTATCAGGGTCAAAATTCAGTGCCTAATAGGAACAGGCATAGCGAAAGGCCAGCTCAACGTATTTAGGACAGGCACAGCGTATCGAGAAGAGGCACAGCGTATTAAGGGCAGGCACAGCGAAAGGACAGCTCAACGTATTTAGGACAGGCACAGCGTATCGAGGACAGGTACGGCGTATTTAGGACAGGCACAGCGTATCGCGGACAGGCACAGCGTATTTAGGACAGGCACAGCGTATCGAGGACAACCACATCGCATTGAGGACAAGCACAGCGTTTCGACGACAGGCACAGCATATCGAGGAGGACTGAAAACCAAGAATAGAAAACTAATACATAACTATACTATAAACTACTTAGATATTAAATAAAAAAACATATGACTATTTACAAAGATAATTAAGTAGTAAAGTTTTAAAAGAGTTCAAACTGGAAGCAGACATAACGGAGTTGGGTAAAGAGTTCCAGTCATTAACGTAACGATTAAAAAATGAAAATTTTAAAATTTTAATTGTCTTATCTTTTCGTTTTGGAGGGCAGTTTTTATATGGGAATTCAGTTTCCCCCTATTGCTTTCCTTTACCTGTTGTACTTTTATATATGTATATATATTTTTATTTTGTACATTGGTAAAAAGAATTATTAAACTTAAACTTAAACCTGTATGGCCGCCATGTTTTGTCCCGCTGGCAAGGGATTATGGGGTTCTTGGTTTTCAGTCCTCCTCGATATGCTGTGCCTGTCCTCGAAACGCTGTGCTTGTCCTCAATGCGATGTGGTTGTCCTCGATACGCTGTGCCTGTCCTAAATACGCTGTGCCTGTCCGCGATACGCTGTGCCTGTCCTAAATACGCCGTACCTGTCCTCGATACGCTGTGCCTGTCCTAAATACGTTGAGCTGTCCTTTCGCTGTGCCTGTCCTTAATACGCTGTGCCTCTTCTCGATACGCTGTGCCTGTCCTAAATACGTTGAGCTGGCCTTTCACTGTGCCTGTTCCTATTAGGAACTGAATTTTGACCCTGATACCGCTTTATAACATCTGTCATTTTACAGCGAAAGCTTTAGCAATTCATCACGGTATGGAACAACGTGAATGACATGTTGAAAACATTACTTGACAGCTTGCATCGAAATTTAGCCAGTGGAATTGCCCGTGGCTGGGAGAAGCGGGTAATTCGAACGAATATAACATATGCAAAACGGACAGTCCGTATTTTTAGCGTCTCTCCCCAGTCTCGCTCTCTGTTTTCAGACTCATTCCAGACCTTTTGTTTGACTGCTCGCACGTACTTGAATACGCAAAAATAGGGACTGTTTTGCAGTCTAGATCTAACCTGTTCCAGGCGTTTAGATAGTGGGGAACAAGTGGATAGTGGGGAAGACATGTTTTTACTACAATTGATCTTGACTGGCAACCCTTATGAATAAACAAACTGAATTATAACAAGACTACCAAGTAGAGCAATTTATGACCACTCTCTCAATGCAACCAAGAAAACACATTGAGGGAACTGAAAACTTTCAAATGAAATTCCCTCTGACTGCCAAGACACATTTAACAGTCCTAGAAAGGATTAATATGTTCTAGTGGAGGTAAGAAGATCACCAAGTTGTTATTCATATCAGGGTGTTGACTTCGGTTGCTTCAGTAGCTGCATTGACAGGATGGCTGATGTTTTGTTTCATGAAATATCCATACCTTCCCACTAATGTGATTTTTAAGAGACCACACAACCCTCTAGGAATTCAAATTAACCGCAACATTTCTTTAAACCTTTTGTCTTTTAAAAAACCCTACCTCGAAGAATTTACAATCACTGCTGGGGAGAGTAAAAATATTTTATGGAACTGGAAGCCTCACAGACGAGGTCTTCCTTGCAAGGGGTGCCCGCAATGTGGGCAGAAACGATAGTCCTTGGAGGGGTACGTATGCTCACAGTGTGGACACCTGAATGGCCTCCTCCACTCACTATGTACTGATGGGGAGCTGAGCAAGGCAGAGAGTGAATCAGCTTCATAAGTATTTGAACTTGGAAGATCATCGCATCTAGTGTTGAAATTCAGCACTGGACTGCACACATCATCAGACAAGTTAATTGCTGTGTCCTCCGTAAGAAAGTTGGCCACTTGGGATGTGTTGCCCCCACAGTCATTGTACAACTCTTGTAGAGTTGTAAAATGAATGTGAGGGAACACATCCTCAAGCTCCAGCAGGGCCATGATGTCGGATGGCTCCCTGCAGACGTCTGGCTGTAATACTGGTGGTTGACTCTTTGTTTGTTGCTAAAAATTAAAAGGAAAATGTTAGAAAATAGTGAATTCATAGTGAACTGCGCAGTTGATTGCGAATGGATGATTTTTTTAATAGCATTAAGTAAGTGGTAAACACTCATTTAGCTATGGTACGAGAACTAAATAGATAAATAGCTATGTTACACTGTTATTAAGTTCTAGTGAGCTCACTAATATAGACAGGAACATAGACTGATGTTAATTTAAAAATTTTTAGTCTGCTCAGAAGGTCTGTCATTCTCATCAGGGGCACAGTGAACAGACCTGGAAAGAGAGTCAGCTTCGAAAAGGGAAAACACCGACTCGGTCCGGAGAAAACTTCAACTAGAAACCCGACAACGCGCGCGTTGATAAAGCAGAAAAAAACAGTTAACGGTGGATGAAACCTTGTTTTTTTACTCTCTTTTCGCACGTTTCAAACCGTGGTACCACAGCTGGCCCTACGTGCCTGAGTCGACTACCATCAATCCATGTTTAAAAATTTTCTTTTTTGTAGTTCAATAAAGACACTTTAGTTCAAGAACGACAACAAAGTTCAATAACAACTACAAGAGTTCAGAAAATGACATAAGCATTACTAAAACCCAGTGAAAATTCAGTTTTAAACACTGCGCAGTTAAACAAAGACACAAAAGTTCAAGAACGACAATATAGTTCAATAACTACTACATGAGTTCAGAAACTGACACAAGCATCAATGTTTGTTTATTTAGTTAATGTTAAGGAGGGGGTCCAACGGGAGTGGGAATGTGGGGCGCCGGCCCCTTTTATAGCATATTTTTTATTTTTTTACATATTCGGACTGTACGTTATTGACAGATATGTCAAGTGACATTGTTCATCCTTTGAAATCTTTTGGGCTTGCTTAGCATTGTCTCATCCTGCTGCTTGCTTAGTTTCATTGTCCACCCAACATAGCCTTGTGGCAAAAACCTAGAAGGCGTGTCTTGGCAAAGCCGCAGTTATCCCACGAACACAGGCGGCCCAATAATTTAGCCTCCTTGCTTCACTGTCTATACTGATAAATTATATCCCTCATTAGTTAACTTACACATGTAGTTATTTACAAATGCATTCATTTCAGATGTTTTTTGCTCGTCCTTTAACCTCTTTGTTTTTCCTGCAAAAAGAACAAACAATAAATAGAAAAAAAGAAAACTTAAGCAGGATCAGTGGCATGCTTCCCCCCAAAAATGTGAAATTTAACTCTATGAAATGGCTAGAAATAAAATTTGAGTTTCTGTTATTTCTTTATGACTAATTTTGAAGACTGTAAATTATTTATTATCAGTTTATGGAATCTCTGTTGCATCTTTGTTGAGTGAAGCCCTGTTTTCAGTCTTCAGATGATGGACAGCTGGATTGTTCACCAGAAGCAAATGCTGCTGTGTCTACCAAGATAGTATACAGCTATTTCAGTTGACGTTGTCGGATTAAAGCTTCAAACCTACGCGACAAGACAGAATGGTGGTCTGGGTTGTTCACTGGAATTTGCATATATGTGTAGATGAAAGCTACAAGGTTTTATTTTTGTGCGTGAAGCCTGAGCGTGCCTCGTAGTGAATGCGTTTGCTCTCAGGAGTCATTTTACGTAGCTTTTGAAGAGAAAGAAAAAAAGCCTGCGAAGTCATTACACCTCATTAGTATTCAGCACGTGCAGCAGCCTTCTACTTCTACCCACACTACCATTCGGTCATGTCGCGTAGGCCTGAAGCTTTGATCCAACAACGTTACTTGAAATAGCTGTAAGCCTGGAGTATAAGCTTGCATACTCTTATCACTTGTTTATCATTTACCATTTTGCAGCAGTAATTCTTTAATTAAAATTACAAAGTCATTACTTATCTTCCCTCATCAACCATAAAAGGTCCAGATCCCTTGCCCTGCACAGTCCCTGATACATGACTCACTAACTGGCTGGTGTGTGACATATGCAGACTGCACACAGAATTTAAATCATGTTACCAGTAGTTACCATCATGGATAGGCTAGCTAACCATAAATAGGCTAACTGGAGCATTATTTCGTCTAACCGAAGTGCCAGTCTGCAATCTACATCTATTTGCACACCCCTTACTGACTGATTAGCCATATAGCTCCTGTTAAGCCAGCTAACAGTTGTTTTTGGTAAACACAAAAATACCAATCACAAATGCAATGCAAAATATTCCAGGACACTGGCCCTGATTTAAAAGTCGACCAAGTGTCTAATTTCTCGTGCATTTAAATGTCTTTATTGCTACTTATGTACTTTGAGAGAAGTCCTTATTAAAAAATGGATAATAGCAAAATAAAAATCTTACTCTATGTAGGTTGCGTTTCGTTCACTTTTAAAATGCACATGAAGTGTAGAGTCTGTGTTGAGACAAACCAATCTTGTCATTAAAGTGTCAAAAATTCACAAATTGTCAAAAAAATTATCAAAGTGAACACTTCTTCAAACAAAAATGAAAATGACGAAGGCCAAGGACAATGATGTTTACTAAAGCCGCACCCCTCCCCCCCCAAAAAAAAATCATCGCGTCTGGCTAAAATTTCTTAGTTCATATACTGGCATCGGTCTTAAGTGGTTTCGTTTCTTCATTAAGACTTATGTATACCAGAAACGCGGAGGAAACGTGGAGCTGAACTCTTGTACACAATAGCAAAACGCCTTTATACGATCCTTTTTATCGATACAACCTCGATAACTTTTTAATCATCTAAAGCAAAAAGAAAACAAAACCTTACCGGCTCTGGCTGCCGCTGAAGATGTGGCTCCAGTAGTTTTTGTTCCGTTTGCCACCATTGGGAAGGCCGAGGCCCCTCCAGTCGCTGTTGTTGCAGTACATGTAGCTGATGTTGCGGCGTTTCTTCTGCTTGTTGCGAGAGTTCGCCGGTAGTGGTTTCTCTGCCTCAACCTGTTGCACAGCTCGCAAGCACACTCGCTCCACGGACAGGAGAACTTGTGGGCGTATGTGAAGCGAGTAGGGACGCCATGGTTTTTGCAGAAGTTGCAAAAATGTGGGGCAGACATTTTAACCTTATTTTTAAATATTTGCGAAAAGAAATTCCCACATCGGACCCTTCTTGCCGGCACCTAGAGCACCTAGCCACAAAATTTTCCCGCCAAAACACGCCGTTTGCCACTTGCTCGGACTCGCCTCCACGAACTTCGAAGCCATAGGCGTTCTAATTTAATCTTAAAGTTTTCTAAACTTAATTTTCCATTACTGCCACAGGAAACAGGACTAAAAGAATCGAATACATTTGATTTCTTTGACTGTGCAGAAATGCTGGAAATGCAATAAGCCACAAGTGCAGAGTTTCGCAGAAAGTAAGCTTAAGCTTTCTGTTCGCCGATAGGAAATTATTTTAAGCAAATAAACTTTTTACATGCCACCACGAAATAAAAGTACTTCACTCAGAAAAAAGCCCTCAATCTTACCGAACTCGGTGAAATTATGAAGTCCTCCTTTAATGACGTTGAGCGAAGTCTGAAAAAGGCAGTCACGAGTTCTGCGTGTACGGAAAGAACCGAAGAAAACACAAACTTACCCTCCCGAATCTCTGCTTCCAAAACAAATCAGATCACCACAGCATCCTTTCTTCAGAACATTTATTCCAATGCCGTTCTCAACTAATTACAGTTCTCAAACTCATCTCAAAGTGACGATAGATCGCGCCTTCTGACACAGGCAGCCCAAGCTCACGTCACGTGAAAGGATTAGATTAATTATTAGCGGTGTGCGAGCCGGGACGTGACTGTTCAACGAAAGCGGTATTGGGTTACATGGCGGCCGTGAATTTATAAAGGATTTGTATGGGAATCCACGTTATAGATTTAGGAAGATAAATACTCGTAGAAATTCTCAATAAAAAACGTCTTACCTTATTTACATGGTGTGTTCTTGCTTGCTGTGTGGTTATTTTCCCGATCCGGTGCGATTTTAGCGATTTTTTTCATTTCTGAGTTTCCACTACTAAAGAGAGAGCAAGGCCGAACACTTCCAATCTGGACAGCCCGCCGAACGAAGCCAAAAATTCCAGGTTAAAATATCCCCACGGCCAAAATTCCACCGCAGAATCCAACTACAAAGGTTAAACTTTCATTTCAACTTTCTAGCCACGCAATCGCATCCCTGCGAGCGACGCCAGGCGGCAGTTTGTTTCCCCGATGAAACAGTAAAACGTTGGGCCAGAACCGCGTACAAATCCACCACGACACAACGACCGTTGAAATCGGCTTGGTAACCTCGTCACATTGACAAACAAAGACTCATGGGGTACACTAACGCAAATTGTCAACATGAATTTCTGTTCTCATCCTGGGTCCCCTCGGGTCGAATCGACAATACCGCATTGTCTCAATCGACCAATCAAAATCGCGCCGTGTCGTGCTTACAAATTTTGAAAACCGTTCTGTTGTACACTACACACATTTCTCTGAAATGGCTGCAAGGCCGAGGAAACGTCCGATCGACAGTGAAAGCTCAGGAGAAAACGAGGAGATTAAGGCATTGCTCAAGTGGAAGTCATGGTAAGTATTCGCCTTTACGCGGATTTTGTAAGCTTCTCATAATATTCGCTTGCTCGTATCGATGTAAGAAAAAGCGTTGTTCTTCATAGGGTGATGTGTCTCACGGAGGCTAAAGATATTTTATTGGCAGGATCTCAACAGAAAGAAAATTTCTCCTCCAACTTGAATTCCGTTCTACTTGGAAAAATTGTTAGTGAAATATGGGGAGAGAAAGTCAAATTAGTGAGGCGTGGACCACGCAAAGATCGGCGAAGCTGTTACCTCAATCTAAGACCTAAAGATCCTAAAAAATCCGAAGTACCACAGGAGACTTTCCAGCAATTTAGGGAAAGTAGCATGGAACTTGTTGGGGGATGGAACAAGATAAGCGACTACCTGAGCTTTGTGTCATTTATTCGTTACGAGTCCTGGTCATTCAATAATCAGCGAGTTTCTATTGAATTCAAGGTAACTCAACTTCCTTCTTCAAAAATTCGTTACACCCTGATTTCTCATGGTTGCGAAAGGGACATCACGAACCTAGTGGATGTAGCAAGCATAGAGCGATATCTGTTGAGTCAGAGAGCCATCCTGTTTCTGGCATTTATTGATAATGGCCAACTTTGTAGAGGAGCACCAATGGAAAATGGTGAAACCACTACCCTTTCCCATAACACACGGAAGGAGCTACCAACGTAATGGAAATAAGGGCTTTCTCTGGCAACTGCAGTATTGTTCGTGTCCGAGAAGGAATTTGCTGTGCGAACTGCATGAAAATCAAAGTTCTAGGTGCCAGAGCTAAGCGACGAAAGGAGGCAAGAGACACCATTCATCCTTGTACCAATAAAAGGTATCTCTCTAAAAGTGAAGTCGTGCAGCAACTTGCCGAAGAAAGGCAAGCACGTTATAACGCCGAGAAAAGGGAGCACTACTGGAAAGAAAAGTTTAAGTCCCAGTGCATTGAAATGGATCGGGAAGATGACGAAGATTTGTCCCAAATTTTTTTAAACATAGCAAAACAGAATGTTCCTGCAGAGATGGCCTGTCTGTGGCAACAACAGAAAAACCTGTTGGAATGCAAAACCAAAAACGGTTATCGGTGGCATCCAAAGTAAGTAACCAACTTTTAGTCATACATGTAAGATCAAGCTACAACTTAAAACACAAATTTCTTTTTAACCATGGGTGTGGCTGGATTTATTCTGGGAAATTGACCAAGAGGGACGTTCTCCACAGGGAGGGAGACTTTTACGTTACTAGATGTTGACTGTTTGAATTGAAAGGATGATTGAGTAACCTCGATCGGATTCCCTCAGAATGTATTGTTCTGTTTTCTTGTGACTCTTATGGATCTCCCCTTCATCCAGGTGCTACATAAAATAAATCTCCCTGGGTAAAGGGGATTAGAATGGACCTGCTGCAACACTTAAGATGATGATCAACAACCTAAAACCAAAGTGTCTCAAAATTTATTTGCCATGTAATTAACATACTATTTAACTAACAAAACTCCTATCAGCATAATTTACTTCAACATATTGCTGATAAAAAATACAGTATGTACATGAAATTACAACAACTGCAAAACAATACAGTAAGTTCCTGAAAGCCTATTTTTTTCTCAAATACAGAGTTATGAGACTGTGCCTGGACTTGTATTGTAAAAACCCCCACGTTTTGGATCCCCTCCGACAATTTTTAATTCTTCCAAGCAACAAAACTATAAGGTGAGTAATTTAAGCATCCTTGTTTCACATGATTATAGATATTTATGATTATGATTACAATTAAACTGTGCACACAGTTTGTCCTAAGGTATTTATACAAATTCTTTGGTCTCATGCAATCTCTTTTTACTAAGAACAGTTTCCTCTTGAGTGTCCTTTGACCAAGACCATTTACATGATTTGTCTTTTTTAAGCATGAACAATCTAGCTAGGTGGATGCTGTAAAGATGCAATTCATTCCCACTACCATTAATGCCTATGTCCTATATATAGTAATATTTACATGCAAAATCTGAAATCCAATACATTTTAGTATATTGAAACCCTATCAATCTGCTCCATGTTTACCGATATTTAAAGGCTCTACAAAAACAAAGTCAAAGAAACAATTGGATGGAACCCTGAAGTATTGAGATGGTGCCTGGAGGCTGCCAAGGAAAGTGGATTGAAAGCAGCAGACTACATGGGTGGTTTTGTGATTGACGAAATGAAGATCCAGGTACCCTTAATTCAAATCTGCATAGAATATATTTGGAAATATTCCATAACAATTATGTTTTACTGAAGATAAAACAACAATGCCAAAGAGACTGGTAATGCTTAAAAAATATAAACACCAAGAGGAGATGATGCACTATCCAACATAATACTGTTATATTGCAGTTTAATTCAAACTGTTCGTAAACTCTTGTTCATTATAAATCTCATGCATTGGCTTTGGTCAAAATTTTGAGAAGAATTTAGAGATGGCCAGTGTTGATGGGAAACACAAGCTTGTTGGTTTTGTGGACCTTGGAAAAGGCCATGAACTAATGAAGGCTCTCTCAAGTAAGATTACCAGATTAATGTAAAGGGTGCATAGAATAAGGCCCCAGTGACTGTTGATGTGATGTCAAATTACAGTTTATGGTTTTGTTTTACAAGAAAATTCAATTTGAAAGGAGAATCTAGCAGTTTATCAGAAAAATAGTCACTTAGAGTCTCTTTTACACCCACCTCTTCATTATTAAACTTAAGTTAACTGTTTGAAAAGAAATGATTTGCTATAAAAATGATTCACCTGAGCTATACAATGTACGTACTGGCCATGGTACGTACTGGCTTGATACTATTGTATAACTTAAAACAGATTTGAAATGGAAAGTCAAAGTTGAGTACCATTAATTGAGCTTTATCATATATATGCCAATATCAATATCACAAAGCACTAATTAAGGAGCACATTGCTTGCTTGTAGGCAAGGGTGATGAACCTGAACTTGCAACCTATGTGCTGCAATTTATTTTTGTCAGCGACAATGGTTTCCGGTTTCCTGTTGCCCAGTTTCCTTCCAAGGACTGCATGCCAAGCAGTTTGTACTTCTGTTTCTGGGATGGAGTCCTGGCGATGTTGGAGATTGGATTTGAGTGAGTATTTATAATTGTTAATTTTGTCCTGTGTAATGGCCTCCATAATAAACTGGTACTTAACTGCCTGATATAAATGAAATTATTGTGTCAATCCAAAACATTGTATAATATTTATTATAGTGCACCAGTTAAAGAGTCAAGAATGCATGGAAGTCAAAATAAACCTTGTTATAATGGCCTGATGTTTTTTACTTTGCCTCCAAACCCCCCTCTCCCCTCCAAACCCTGGATTGATGTTTTAGCATAATTTAATTATACCAGATATCTATTTGACTGACAAGAATTCAAGCTTTCATGTATGCAAGGAGATTGACTTAAAAACTTCAATTTGCTAAAATCATTACGTAACTAAAATCGAGTACAAATAAAACAATACTTACTGCTAACGATTTAATTAGACTTCAATGTCCATGTCACATTAAGGTAATCTTGCATCTATATTAAATGATCCAAAGAGATATAGATATTAGTCTTAACATTTTAAAATATAGTCCCAATGTAAAAGAACTTCTGTGCTTTTTTAGGGTGTACTGGTGTATCTTAGATGGGGCAGACTGCAACAGGCAATTCATACAAATGCACTTCAAGGACAACGACCCAGAGGTACGGTGGCCCACAAGTGCACACCGAATTCCAGAAAGTCACACCGAATTCAAATAACTCACACCGAATTCAAATAACTCACACCGAATTCAAATAACTCACACCGAATGCAAATAACTCACACCGAATTCAAATAACTCACACCGAATTCAAATAACTCACACCGAATTCGAATAAACTCACACCGAATACAAGTAACGAGCGACGCCTGGGTGCGAGTAGTGAGGTGACCAATCCCGGTATCCTCTTGGCTTCTTCTTCCCGCGATTTCAAGATGGCGGCGGCAAACTCAACAACATCGCTAACATGTGAAGTTTGCGCAGCAACAGTGACGCTTTACAGCAAGTTTTGTGCCACCTGTGGTGCTGAGCTTGATATAGAAACACAAGCACTGAAATATTATTTCAACGAAGGATACGAGTATGAGGTTATTCTGTGCTTTTTGCTGAAATACCACGGAATAGAAATGAGCCTGCGAACGCTCAAGGAAAGATTCAAGTCACTTGGGCTTCGACGACGGAACCTATTGGATTCAAATGACCAGGATATCAGAGCTAGAATACAGGAGGAGTTAGATGGGCCTGGTTGCGTAAAGGGGTACAGGAGCATGTGGCATACTTTGCGCCGTGAGGGTTATCAGGTGTCGAGGCAAGCAGTGGCGACATGCTTACAAGAAATGGACCCTGAGGGGTGCGAACGAAGACGAAGGCGGAAGCTCAAAAGAAGAGTTTACACTAATCCAGGGCCGAACTACTGTTGGCATATTGATGGCTATGACAAATTGAAACCTGACGGGTTCCCGATCCATGGCTGTATTGACGGTTACAGCCGAAAGATAATATGGTTAAGATTGGACAGAACAAACAATAATCCCGTAGTGATCGGGAGATATTATATGGATGCTGTGAAGGAATACGGAGGATGCCCCATGAAGGTTAGAACTGACTGTGGCACTGAAAACGGCCTTGTAGCAGCAGCACAATGCTATTTCATTGGCAATGATCTGGCACATATTTATGGAACCTCACCTCACAACCAACGAATAGAAGGGTGGTGGTCGTACCTAAGACAACACTTAACTACTTGGTGGATGAACTTTTTCAAGGACTTACTGGAACAACAAGTCTTCACTACTGGTAATGAACTACAGATGGAGTGCTTGTGGTTCTGTTTTTCCGGGCTCATTCAGCAAGATTTGGACAGCGTAAAAGTACACTGGAACAGCCACTACATCAGAGAGTCGCGCCATGACACTGTAAAAGGAAGACCCAATGAGTTGTTTTACCTACCTGAACTGCGCAATACTGAGGACTTTCTTGCTCCTGTCAGTGCACAGCAGTGTGATGTATACGTAATTTTCTCTTGAGATCAGATACCAAGTTTGGTTTCAGAAGATACACTCGTTTCAAATCTGTATTATTAAAATTGTTCTTGTATGTGGGGCAAACGTGTCTGATTGTCCAACTGGAAGCTACGACACCAGATTGGTTTTCCTTCACTGCCAGGCAACCAAACTTCTGTTAAGTTGTCTTGGGTTCTGTGACCGTGTAAGGTCGAGTAAAAACAGACTAGTACGTTTACAAACAACAACAACATGGATTCTATTTATTCTTATCTGTCACATGACTAGAGCATTCCAAATATGGGCAACATTACATGTAGGTACGAAATGTTTTCGTCATGGGTCATTTTTTGCTCCATAACATAACGACAACGAAGCCCTTTGTAAATGTAAACATAAGACTTTCTTCAAAAAGGTTGTCAAACTGTTCTTTCATTGTTTTTTATTGTTGGTAACAGAAAGATCTGAGTTCTTTAAATACAGTAAAAACCGGCGTGTAAGAACCTATTTCAGAATCTGTTTAGCCTAATGTCCTGGTAAGCACCATTTACATAAGAACCTGTTTAGGCTAACTTGCAAAAATCTAGGTTCTTATATGCGGATATTTACTGTAGGTAACATCTCCTTCGTCAACGTTTTATGTGAAACAATTATCTTGTAGTAACAGTAACAATAACATATATTAGACACTAAAAAGCACTTTCTGTTTGATTTACAAGAGTGTTTCATGCAGCATTCTTAGCCCTTTACAGTTTATGGAATATAATATCTTTTGCAGCCCTACTGACATTTCTCTACATCCAGAAATGTTTTCTCTCCCCTGGTAAACTAAACAACTGGACTTGGTCGTTAATGGTTAAGAAATCTCAAGAGCTTTGCAGCATTACCCGGGTAACACTTATCATAAAGTACTGTAACATTCAACTAATTTAGTAGTAAGCATTACTGCCTACCACACCAATGTCAACTTACTTACTGATACTAACAAACTGAAACTAGAGTGGTTTTACATAACCCGTGAAACACTGTGTGAAAATTACTGTGTAATACTACAAAGTAAGCAAAAGGAAACAATGCAGTTAGTGTCTAATAGTGCGTACTAGACTACTATTATTTTCACGAGTTAGGTAAAGTCACTCCAAAACATACAGCTTGTAAAAAGCCCTTCCCAAGCCCCAATGTTATATTAACAGGAACTAGTCACAATGAATTAACATGAACTAACTTATAAAAATTTGTACATACACTGAAAATTAAAACTTGTCCCAAGAATGCAAAAACAATACTTGTGAACAGTCAATAATTTTCTTGTTCTATCACTAACTTTTTGTTACATGTGACCATTTTGTCACTTTTCAGTCAGTCGAAACCAACTGTGAGCAAGGCATGCCTTTTCTTTAAAATTCTTCAGGTAACAATGCAGGTAACTACAAAGAATATAGCTGCTTTATAAACATTTTAAACTCTTGTCAGTTCTGCTGGTAAATGGGAAATGTTTAAAACTCGTGATAAAAGTCCAGTCAGCCAACACAAGAAAAATTTGAAATTCTCTGAGTTAGTTATACAAAGCTGTCAATGCAATAAAACATATTTACTTTACTCTGTCCAAAGTCCTTGCATTTGTAAATTGCAAAATTAGAATACATTTTAAACTGCTTTGGGTCGGTCATGTGGCTGACTGGGTCTTCACTAAGGCTGTGTGGCCAATGAAATGCACTAACCCGACTACCACCCACAGCATCCTTTTTGCATGCAGCAACATTGTAAAAAAAAAAATACAATGAACTGCATCAGTGACATTCGTCAATGTTTCGACTGGTCACTCAAAAACTTAACAAACATGTCACTAAGCAGTTTCAATTCAGCGTAGTAAAACCAAAACAAATATACAATTACTGTCGCCAATCACGACAAATGCAAACCATGAAACAATGAACCAACCACAACTCGGCAAACACATACAAATGTTTTCAAGTTTTGGGTTCACTGCTGAGAAACTAACATGTTTTGCTAATCAATTGCAGAGTACTGTCAAAGAAAACCTGAAATTCATTTCGAGACTCGGGTGAAAACCATTCTATACCTTAACCTGTCACTTCACTCTGTCCAAAGTCTATGCATTTCCAAATGCATTTCCTTTGCACATGGCAAGTAGTAAGACATGTTTAAACTGTTCTGGGGTTTTCATGTGGGAGACTGGAAATGTGATTTCCTTGCTGCAGGCTGCCACACGGGGAAAGCAGATTGTGTGATTAGGATTTCTTGTGAAGCAATCATGGTCGAAGAGGGCAGTGACATTCAGCGGCTCTCCATTTAAGGGGCGGTGCTTTTTGGCCTGTCAGCCACCCCAATACACCAGATGGTGTGGTGTCCATGGACTGAAATCGCTCCACTTCGCTACTTTCAGTGTTCGTGTCATTGAAGTCCTTCCATGCTACTGGCTCGGAATAGCCAGTTATTTGTTCATCTTCCAATGACATCAGAAAATCTTGTAGGTTGTCAATGACTGCCTCTTCAAGTGGTCGTTTTGACGAGCCCTGTTCCGAGTAGCTTGGATTGACAAGCGAAAAGACATAATTGGCATCTACCACCTGATTTGAACCTTTCACAAAAAGAGGCTTGCATAAAGAAGCATTGCCCCTAATGACATCATATGCACCATACAGCTTCAGACCTTCACAAAATTCTTTCATGTACAGCAAACGCTTGGTCATAATGCTTAGTTGCATTGTTCCAATGACATCCTCTTTGTGGTCATGATCAATGATGCCAGTGTATCCATGGTCAACAATTACATCACACAAAGCACCTTCAAATGTGTCACAAGCTCTTACTGCGTCGAATAGCTCTTTGTCCTTTGCAGTGAAATGCCTGTCAACATCTAGGTTGCCAATGTTCACATCAGGGTCCAACATCAACTGGTACACACTCTCATCCAAGAAAGATGGCGCTGGTCCTCCTTGAGCCAAAGACACTGCAATGATTTCCCCACAGGTTTTGAAACTTTTGTTATGAACATTGTACAGTGAATTTATGGGGGCTCCATCTGGAAACACTGCCAGCCCCATATCATTAATCAACTGTGCCAGAAATTCTTGCGATAATGCACCGCTGTCTACACCATTCTCTCCACTATAGCGCACTCTTAGCACTTTTTCAGGAGACGATCTGTTGGCTTCTCTTTGCCACAGGGACAAAACTCTAGGAAATGGGGACCCTCTTCTAGAAACAATAAAAACTGACCATCTTGGTCAACCTTTTGAGACAGGGACTTAATTACACTTGAAATATCTTGATGGATAGTACCCATTGACATGTTGTCATCTTTCCCATCCTCCATGTTCTCGACAGCGTCAATCATGTCAATGGATAACTCATTGTCAAACTCCCTTTGTAACTCAATTGCAATTTTCTCATCACTAGCAAACACAGCAGATGCATCAGGCTCTTCATCAGTTGTCAAGCTTTTCAGTCGCTTCTTCTCTGGCTCCTCAACCAGCTCATCAGTATCTCTATCTGATTCACTATTTAGGTCAAAGTGAAAGTCACTAAGCTTGCATAGGTACAACACAATTTTGTTGTAGTCCTTTCCAGTTTCTTCTTTGTATCGTTTGAGGGAAAAAAACTCTTTACTGGCAGATGAACCTGGAAGAAACTGGGCTTCTTCACCATTTTCAAGTAGAAGAATGTAGTCTTTGTTCTCATCATAGAGGTCGCTGTTAAAGGCTCTCCACTTTTCCACAGCTTTCTGCAGGATGACTTTGTAGGTGGCTTTGTTGGACACTCTCAAAGCAAGACGCTTGCCTCTCTTTGGTTTGATACACACGTTCTTGTCACTCCATACCATGAGCCCAATGTTGATCTGCACTTCTATCTCTTTGTCACTTGCACTTCCAGCCTTTTTGCTTACAATGGATTTCCACTGTTGGCCTTTCAGTTTTTTGAACATATTGAAAGATTTCACGTGACAAGTTGAAGCGCATGATGTGGATGAATGGCCTAAGAGTAAAGATGACAATACTCATTACTCCCTAAGTGATTAATTGAAGGTAGCAAATGTGATATAGTGACAAAGAGAGTAATAATATTCACAAAGTTATAACATAAAATCTCTGGTCCTCTAAAATTCAGACTTGTGACAATTTTATCCTGGTTACAGCATCTGATGATTCATACAGTAGCACTTGGCAACTGTTGTGTAGCATGAAGTGACAAGAAGCATCACCATAATTCAGCATTTTGTTAGGTTTACCACTCACCATTGCTCATTGGTCATTGGTCATTTAGAGCATTGTATATATGGTGTGACTGATTGTGTGACTGATAATAATTTGTGCATAACAAGGGATCATGAGTTGTGTTAATTGTATTTCAGTGTAAACAAATTACCGGTACTGGTAGTGTGTTTTTAACATTACCCATGGCTGGTTATTACAATCGGTATTATGAAAAAAATTATGGCTAATTATACACAATATAAATAACTTACCCGTTGCACGCAGTTCATTAGATTGCTCTTGGGAAGAATGAGCTAATGGAAAAATAATTATTAAGAAAATATTAAGTCTAAAAGATCACTATAAAAGTTCCAGTATTCCTTTATTACAATAGAATGTGCATTTCCAGAAAATAACCATACTCCCCCCACGGAAGGTTTTTGTTTTGCACCCCCCAGGAAATTCCACTTTAGCATCATACTTTTCTTCTAAAATTTTGGGGCTTAAAACCCCCTCCCCTAGGAATATCCGAGACCTTCAATGGGGTGGTTATGGATTTTCTGGAACTGTACAATATATTATTTTATAATTTGATCAATCATATACATCTAAGTCTACTGCATCTAACAGGAATTCAAATCAGCAAATCAATCAATTACAATAGCAATAATTACTATAAAAATGTTCAGTGCAATTGTACCTGAATTTCCTGGAGTTGTGGCAGTGCTGCACCGACCTAGAATAATTTTATGCAATAAACACATAGTTACAAACAAAGATAATGCAATAGCCCATTGATAGGATAGGACAAAGCTCTTAAAAGCTTGTGATTTATTGGTTTTTGCATTACACTGTTCACAGTCCTCTATTTTCCCGTAAGATTGTCGCGAATGTTACGAGCGGCCGTCTCCCACCCCCACCCCCACCCTTCCTGACGCCCGTCCACCTAAGTGTTTAGAGGACGCGTTCGCCTAAAAAACAAGATGGCGGCTACTCGTATAAACAATCGCAATCGCGACGATCTTACAGGAAAATAGAGGACTGTGAACAGTCTATGCCCCCATTGAAATGACCACTAATGTGTATCAAAATTGTGACTTGTGCAATCCTCTATTATAAAAATCGCATCTGCATGGTTGCGCTTTTAAACATAAGGATACATTTCATTTATATTTTCATTCCACGACTATCCCCTATCCAAAGTGAGTCAACACAGTGCTCGACTTTCAGAAAAAAATCTTGGGGCCAGCTGGCCCCCAAGTTTTCATTTTTGTCGCCAGAACAAGTATTCTGGTTGCCAAAATTATATTTAAGAATTAATGGATTTAGTTGTGTGAAGGATAACGGATTATCGTTAGTGTACGTTTTCCCAAAGAAGATAGTCACCTATCTTGGGGGCCAGGTTGGCGACCAGGGGTGAAAATTTGGTCGCCACTGAGTAAAAGCTGGGCGCATTGGCGACCCCACGGGTCGCAACGTCGAGCCCTGCAACAGACGAGGGAATCACCGCTGTATAGGTGTAGCTGCTTAAGTCTGTAAATTACGGTATGAAAGGCTTGTATACACTTACCTGCACCACACTTGGAGCAAAAATTGTCCCCTTCTTCCAACGCACATCCACAGCTCGAGCAGAACATGGCGGGAGCGGGAAGAACTCCAGGGAAGAAGAATAAGAAGAAGAGGATACCGGGATTGGTACCAGGATACCTTGCAGTCACTTGACTGCTCGTACCCAGGCGTCGTTCGTTACTTGAATTCGGTGTGAGTTTATTCGAATTCGGTGTGAGTTATTCGAATTCGGTGTGAGTTTATTCGAGTTCGGTGTGAGTTTATTCGAATTCGGTGTGAGTTTATTCGAATTCGGTGTGAGTTATTTGAATTCGGTGTGAGTTATTTGAATTCGGTGTGACTTATTTGAATTCGGTGTGAGTTATTTGAATTCGGTGTGACTTATTTGAATTCGGTGTGACTTATTTGAATTCGGTGTGAGTTATTTGAATTCGGTGTGACTTTCTGGAATTCGGTGTGCACTTGTGGGCCACCGTACAGAGGAGTCCAAATTTGTTTCAAAAAACATATACACTGGGAGTCCAATGATATTTGTTATGGATCCAAAGGTAAACAATTAATGTTGTTCAATCTTTCTTTCACAGATCTGTAAGAGCAACAATTTTTACAGGAACTTCCCTAATCCCTCAAATTACCCAGGCGTCTGTCTCAAACCTAATTTACTCGAATAAACAATGCATTGGCTATACATAGTACAGGTCATCTAGGGAACAGACAACAGTGAACAGTATTATAAGGAGTTAAGAAAAACCAGCACAATATTAGAAAGGGCAGTCAAAGTATAGCCAACTGAATTTAAAGGAATGCTTATATGAACAAGTAGTGAATTGATTTTGCTGCATGCATACCTGTGCGTTATTAATGTTGTTGCTTTTATTGTTATTAGCATAACATCAAGAAAATACGCAATAACATTGAAAAGAGCAACCAGAGTGGCCAGCCAAGGTGTTTAAAGGTTCAGGGAAAAAAAATCACTTGGAATCAATTTAAGAGTGCTTTTAACTGGGACCAGGAAAGTTTCTCTCTCCCAATACATGAGAAACTGACAGTGCAACATTTGGACCTAGACCCAGCAAGCAAAATGAGGAATAAGCTTGCTGAAGATGTTCTTGACTCCAAGATGCTTTTTCTCACGCAGGTTAGAACTTATTTAAACAGCTATTAAATTTAACTGCTACTGTTGAAGTAGGTTGCCACCTTTAATTCTTGCTGTGCAGCTACTAAATTTACCTTCAGCAGACCCTAGCAATTAAGCTCATTAGTCTTATGAGCTGATAAGCGCTCAAATTATCATAATGCCATCTCCCTAATTTAATTGTTTATTTTTTCAGCTTTACTGCATTTATTTTTAAAGCTGTTTTTTTCCCTGTTAACATGCAGTTCAATTTTCCACATAATTGTCCTAAATAAATGCATGAGAATGAATTTGATACAAAAACTGTGAATAAAATTTAAAATAAGGAAAAAATTAAACCACAGGATTGAAATCACATGTCATCTCTTTGTTTTTACCCAATACAGAAATACCAGGAGAGCATTACCACCAGCCGAGAAGATAAGTCTGCTCTGGACTCAGTGATAGCTTTGTTGGAACACACCAGTGACCTAGTTAGCCTGTTTAATGATAGGCTGTACATAAGTTCTTCGAATGACTCAAGACTGTGCAAGCTTAATGATTTCTATTGCTGGATGTGTCGCTGGGAAGAAAGCACTGAAGGAAACAAAAAGGAATTTATTTCAAGCAAGTTGTGGTTCGACCTAAAATCCATGTGTCTTGGTTTCCAGTCACTGGTCCACTACAAATTGCAAAAATGTCCTAGCTCAGTAATCAAGCCTTCCATTGTGAATCAAGACTGTGTGGAGAACCATTTCTGTCAAATCCGTTCTTGTAACGGTCAAAATGACAATCCAACATTCTTACAGCAACAGTCTTCACAAAATTCAATTAGACTGGGCCAAACCACTATAAGTCCTAAAAGCAATGCTTCTTGCAACAGTATCTGTGTACATCAGAGACCATCATTGCATAGTACAAAATGAGGGGGTACCTGGAATAAAGCACCAAGTGACTTCTGATAAAGCGCTAGATTCTCCCATCAATTTTCCTTAGATAAATTCATGTGAAATGAATTGGGGAAGACTGTGTTAATTAAATCAGGAGTCACTTAAGGCCTATTCCATGCACTCCTTCAGATCTTACTTCAGCTGCAGCTACACTGCAACTAAAGGGTGATAAGCTCATTAATTTTCTTCTAGTCTTTAAATGGTTGCAAATAGATTTTTTAGTCCTTGGCTGTGGCTTAAATATATTAATAAGCTTTCTGAGAATTTTTTTCTCTTGTAAATATTATTCCTCTAACCTATAGCCTGGCCATTAAATGACTCAACATCCAGGACATTTGTTCCTCTTTTAAATATTTGTAGAAATGTATAACTGCTATTGGAATTTTGACACTTGTTTATATAAGTTATGTATAGTACTATCAGGCACGGATCCAGGATTTTGAAATGGGGGGTGAATTTTTGTAATAATGTAATAGAACCATGCAAAGCCTCAGGTTGAGGTGTTTGAGATCTGTGCATAAGGGAAAGAAAGAAGGGGGCTCAGAAAAAAGGGGGGGGGTGAAAATTCACCCATTTCACCTCCCCTGGATCCGCGCCTGATTATTATCATTATTATTAGAAATACCTCTTGACAACCGTATCCTGATGTGACCATCTGCATCAGCTGAGTTCTCTACAATCCTGAATTGTCTGTCGTCCACAAGGTCTGTGCTTGAAATGCAGTTGTTCTGAGAAATAGCACCTAGTAGTTCTTCTGCTAGAGCTGGCTTTAATGATCTTGAAGACACTCTGAGACCATATGCTTGACACAGTGCTGTCAATTCATATTTGAGATATACCCTACTCAGTGGGCCACTGCCTTGATGCTGATGAATGAAGGCAACCAGACGACTATGTGAAACTGTCTTGTTTTGACTTCTGTCTTTCAGAATTTCCTGTTAAAAGTCAAATGAAAATGCGATAATAGTTTAAAACAAACAGGCATTGCACAAACAGAGAACGAGTGCCTTTTTTTTCAGACTATTACAATTTTATTATTATAACCATGTAGAAAATTTATATAAGGTTTATTAATGTTACCTTGTAAGTCAAGTATGACATTTATCAATTCTAACTAATTCAGCATTGTCGTAAACTTTCAGGCATATTTCTAGTGCATTAAAACGCTTTTTTTTACCTTGTGTGGTACACAATCCGTCTTCTCTTTGGTCTTTTTGATCCTTTGTAACACTCTTTTCCGCAATTCCGCGCTCTTCTTGACCAAAGATGCTCTCCTGTAATCCCGAAGAAATTGGGCAGCACCCATGTTGATGTAGTACATCAATATACCATGAAATAGTTTTTCAATCAGTTCCTGTGTAAAGAGAGAATACAATGAATGTAACGCTACGCTGGCCACCATTTTTGTTTAACACCCCCGCCATCGCTTATGTGCCACTCGTCATGGACAATGTAGGGGAGGTCACACGCAAGTAACTAAAGGCAGCGGCCGCTGGCACAAATTAACTATTGCTGTTAACTGTAAATATTTCTCACGCTAATGCTGTAGTTCAGTTTTGTCCTTGGTTCAATTTTGATTTTCCTTTGTTTTATATTCATTATCATATATTAACATAGAAAAAAGACAATGGAAAATTAAAATTAAGCCCGGGATAAAATTGACCTACAACACAGAGGAAGCGCCTTTTGCAATTTGACTACGGTATATGCGTATTATAGGCCGTTATCTTGCTATGTTCATTACCTTGCTCTTGTTTGCATCCTCCTCTGGAAAACACTTTCTCCATCTCTCCTTTAACGTTTCTTCGCTGGAAAGGCTATCAAGGGCTGCTTCCACCATATCTTCACGCGCTTTCTTCAGAACTTGAAAGTTAAGCAAGTCCACCCTTCTCTGTTCAAGACTTAGAAAGAAGACATACGCGTCATCAGAGATGTGAAGTAGGCCCCGTTGACGATACTGTCTCTCTTCTGTAACTTGTAAGGATTCGGGAAACTTGGAACTTTCCTCTAGTTGATCGAAGGGTTGAATAATGTTCTCCTCCAATAGTTCACAAGCTCTTTCCTGACTTTCAACAATGGCCAAAGTGGAACTGGAATTTGTGTGTACATTTCTTTGGACGTACTTCCGTGCCCGAGATAAGACTTTCCTCACCGCCCAACCACCAACGTGACGTACCTTTGAGCACCCCACCTCCGTCATTTCTCCAACATCAAAGATAACAGGCTCACTGGTTGCTTCCTCTCTCACAATACAATTCAAGTGTTCCAGAAATCCATAGTAGACGAAAGTAGCCAGCTGTATTGCGACAGCCCGTTGGGGAGGGATACTTTCGTTCACGCCAAAAACAACGCAGACATACCTTGAAAAATCGTTCCCATTGAAAAACTGATGCAACGCACCAGTCACCTCAGTGAATCCTTGCCGTCCGATGTCAACGACAATTTCCTCGTGGTTTTCGACGATGTGTCAGCAGGAATACATGAAACCAAATCAGTTTTAAAAAAGGTTGAACCTTTGATATCCAACAAGCATCATTTACCATTAAATCAATCATACTGTTCTTTTGTTCTTGAAAGGGAGACACAACTAATTCTGTTTTCATGGACAGTAGGCGAGTGCAAGAATTGATGAAAAATTCGTCAGGGGGACTTGACAGCGTTGATTCATGCCTGGTCAGCCTTTCAAAAATGTCCAGTAGCTCCAGAGGGGTAGCAACCTCATCATCTTCAAAGCACGCTCGTACTGGCCCATCGAGCATGGAAATGTATAGGGCTCTTCGTTTTCCTGGTTGATATCCTGGTAGCGGTCTCTTACACAGAGCATATTAGCTTGGTTGATGGTCTTGTTGCGACAGCAGGAGAGGTCAGCAACGGGCTGGCAAACGTGTTTTGAAGAGCAGATATCAAGAGCCTTTTTCTGCGGCTTCAAAAGCTGTCGACTATTGAAATTTAACACCTGTATGTGTTCGGGAGACTTGACTCTTGAAATCGCCACATAAATGAGCCCCGGTACATACTCTCTAGAGCAGTGGACGACTGCAGATGGCAAAGTGAGCCCTTGTGACTTGTGGCAAGTGCACGCATAAGCGAGCACGATAGGAAACTGCGTCACACTTCCAATCCTTTGACCATTCCTATCCCTCTTTATCCACGTTTCCCGCCCAATTTCGACGATCCCTACTTCTTTAAAATTGAGCAACAGGTCATTGCCCTTTACACCAGTGAAGATACCAAGGGTACCGTTTTTCAAGTCATCCGACTTGTTCCAAACCAGCATCACTTTGCAGCCACGTTTCAATTGCAAAATGGAAGCTCCTGGCCAGCTCATGCTCCTCGACCTGTCATTTTCAAAGTCTGCTTGAAAAGTGATCATTTCTTCATTGATTGCATCCAGCTGGCGTCGGTTTTCTAGCTGCACAGGAACCTTCCTGAAATAAATATGTGTAGCATTTTGAAGGAGTTGCCAGGGTAATTCCCTTTGCAAAGAGGTGATAAAATGTTCTGTGGCCAACGAACAATTTCCTTCTCTGATTTCTGATACAGCGGACAAAAATGCTGGGTCTTGCTGTCGCATAACCACCGTTAAACCGAAACGATGAGCCACAGCAAAGTCAAACAACGGGGAAAAAAACATGAAGTGGCCTTCATCAAAGAGATTTGGTACAGGTTGCAGCTGAAGGAATTCGCCAATAAGTATGATTTGCTTTCCTGCAAAAGGGAGATTCTTGCAATCATCTGTCGCTAATTCGTGATGCAGAAAATTGACAAGTTCAAACATCCTCTGAGAGGACATGCTCGCCTCGTCCCAGATGATTACATCGATGGCCTTTATTCTGTCTCGTATTAAAGAGTTCTCGCAAGATCGATCAATAACTTGCCGCCAAGGCAACTCCGCAGTCGAAAGGCCGTAGTATGCACTGTTGACGCTTCGCCACGATCGTATACTTGGCAAGCAATGCCGCTAGAACATATGACAGCTACCTTTTTCCCACGTGCTTTCGCTGTTCCGATTATCGTTTTCACCACCTTGCTTTTCCCGACTCCAGCCTGGCCAGTAATTAATAAATTATGGCCTTCGGAGGCAAACTTTACTATAGTATTCTGGTCCTCGTTGAGCTTCACCCTAAAGTTGGAAAATAAAGAGTGGATGAATGTCACTTCCATCGCTAGCTCGTAGATTACAAAGACAACGAGGTGCCAAAATATCATTCCTGAACTTGAAGATTCAAACGCTTGAATAAAAAACAAACGAAATAAACATTAGACTTACATGACTGAACGCTAAAGAAATCTGTCCTGAATTTCCAGATGATCACATCGTAATAAGAATAAAATCTCCAGCTCCACGTATTTATCTCCCTGGGTTTCCTCTGAGTTTGCATAAACTTTCGTGTTGTAAACACGACACGGCGCGATTTTGATTGGTCGATTGAGACAATGCGGTATTGTCGATTCGACCCGAGGGGACCCAGGATGAGAACAGAAATTCATGTTGACAATTTGCGTTAGTGTACCCCGTGAGTCTTTGTTTGTCAACGTGACGAGGTTACCAAGCCGATTTCAACAGTCGTTGTGTCGTGGTGGATTTGTACGCGGTTCTGGTCCAACGTTTTACTGTTTCATCGGGGAAACAAACTGCCGCCTGGCGTCGCTCGCAGGGATGCGATTGCGTGGCTAGAAAGTTGAAATGAAAGTTTAACCTTTGTAGTTGGATTCTGCGGCGGAATTTTGGCCGTGGGGATATTTTAACCTGGAATTTTTGGCTTCGTTCGGCGGGCTGTCCAGATTGGAAGTGTTCGGCCTTGCTCTCTCTTTAGTAGTGGAAACTCAGAAATGAAAAAAATCGCTAAAATCGCACCGGATCGGGAAAATAACCACACAGCAAGCAAGAACACACCATGTAAATAAGGTAAGACGTTTTTTATTGAGAATTTCTACGAGTATTTATCTTCCTAAATCTATAACGTGGATTCCAATACAAATCCTTTATAAATTCACGGCCGCCATGTAACCCAATACCGCTTTCGTTGAACAGTCACGTCCCGGCTCGCACACCGCTAATAATTAATCTAATCCTTTCACGTGACGTGAGCTTGGGCTGCCTGTGCTTCTGATTGGTTAATTGTCAAAAACGTCATAGGGCGAAAGAAAGCTTAATTTTATTGGCCAGTCATGAAGGGATTGGTTTTGGTTTTGGTTTTGGTTTTACTACGCCCTTTGGTTGGCTAGTGTATTTACTTTGGTTTTGGTTTTACGACAGTCAAGTGAAAACCGCTCTAATTGACAAAGCTAAAGTGCTTCCATTTATTTGTTTATAAAAATGTTATATTATCTGTGAGATTCTATACGTCTGAAAAAGGGAAAAGCAACAACCAGGGTCTGTTTAATTCACGAACATATCTTGAAAACTAACTAAAATAAAGCATTTCTCAGTTAAAAAAAAATATATGCTCACTTGTACAAGGGAAGTTTGGTACTCTCCAATCTTCTGATGACTCAATGAACACAAGCTGTAGTGTATGTTTCAACACTCTTTTTTACTCTCTCCCCATCCAATAGCTTTATCAAATACTCGTAACCTTTTGACGAAAAAAAGTCGTACGTCTCCAGGCACTGTTGACTGACATCCAGTGGCAAGGAAACTTGTTTCTGGACCACCTCGTGGGCTAACTTGAGAGCGCCGCGATTCTCTTCAACTGTAGCCTTCCAGATCTTCACTTTGCCTTCCAGCTGTTCATTCATCTTGCTTTGAAGACGAATAATGGAGTCTGGAGACGTGCACACCCAAACGATTGAGGTCATCATGTTTTGCGCCGCCATGGAATAACATAGTGGAGATCCTATAGTGGACGGCCGACGCTTGAGGATTCCTAACACGAGCCAGGATAGCGGTGGCAAGGGCAAGTGAATTGTGATCTTTAGCAACAGAGTTCACATCTACCTGGGTCGAGACACCACTTGCCCCGATAACGTAATTATACAATACAGGGCAAAAAATTCGCACCTCTTCCATGAACAGTTTGTTCGAAAAACTGGCTATTTCGTCTTGGTTTCTTGCGCATAGCAAGACCTCAGATATTCACTGAATTCCTTGGATAAACCTTTGCGGATGTTGTTTCTTGATTCAGGAGCAAGTTCAGCGTGCTGTAATATCGCATTAGACACTTCACGCCAGTTTCCACCAGTGTTTTGGTTGGATCGTCTCCCGGAATTCTTACAATAACATTCCCTGAAGGATTTAGGTAAACAACTTTTACCTGAAGTCCTGTCTGCGGCAAGTCATCCACGTTAAGTCTTCTCAACATTTCCTCTTCTTTTTCAGGCAGCGTCGACATTGAACCACTTTCTCCAGTAAATGCCAGCGACTTGCGCGATTTCTTGGGTTGTCTCATCCGAGATGACGTTTCGACTTCAGGTGAATTAACCCGCACTTGCTTCGCTTTTCTCCATGATGGACTCGCCTTCTCAGGAGTTTATTTTTCGTGCACAGCGGTTGCATACGCGATCAGAATATTCTTGAGAATCTTCCAGCGAAACCAATCCCACTTGTTTGCATACGTCCGCAAGCACAATGCCAGAGGAATCTTTGCGCTGTGACGGTTTGAAAATATTTTGTGACGATGAGTAAAATTGTTTACCGCTGACGTTCCCAAACTTCACTTTAAAAGAGAATTTACAAATCCTACAGCTGTCGCTAGGACGCGTTTCTGACATAAATTTTACGCGTACATCGCACGCTAGATTTCCCTAGAGTTGTCAGTGCCGGGTACCGTTCCAAAAACGTGCCAATGTTATTGTCGGAAGTAATTTGAGGCAACCGAAAAAGAAGTGAAATCGATTTTCATTGGCTGTGTTTGCATTTTCGGAAAAGTAGTCAGGAGCGACTAATTAGGGGGCGTTCGTTAATTTCATAGACTTTGCTGGCAGGCGTTTTCTCCTCTCTCCTCCCCACCCCACCCCCTTAGTCTTTTTCGTTGTTTTTCAAGATGGCGGCCACGATCAATGTACCTCCGAATTTTTCGTTAAAAGACGCCTGCTCTGCAGGCTAAGTGTAATGCAAAATATGAATATTTTCTCAAACAAAATTAAGCGTGTATGATCTGTTTCTGTACATTTTGACTGCTGTTTGTGTGCAAAAGAAACATACCTCTCTCCTAGTAGGGGTTTTGTACAGTGCGTGGTTTGTAAATATGGGAACTTTGTCCACGAGATTTAGGTGGCGTGGGCAAAGAAATGAACCTCCTTGATAGTTTTCAAGGTTTGTTGCTACGGTGACAATCCTCTGCGGACAGGGCAGTAAATTGTTCCTTTGTGTGCAGGCATTTTCACTCAGAAAACAACACTTGAAATTTTTGCGCATGACCAAAACATAGCCAAACTGGCCTAGAATAGCCACGTAAAACGGCCTTCTTTTCCAGAATAATAATTAGTGAAACCCCAACACTTTTCTGACACGCTTCTTAACCTGGAGCCACGTTCACAAAGATTTTCCGTGATTAATTAACTTTGGACATTCTTTCCGCCCGAAACTCACGGAAAAAGACGGGAACTTGCCAGTGAAGAGGTCGGTAACTATTTTTGGACCGAGAAAAAACGAGCGGCATCTCCAGTTTCATTAGGGACCTTACGATCCGACAACGGCGACGTCCATGAAAACGTCGCCGAAAAAAAGCCTTCGTATCATCTTAAACTTTTCACGATTATCGCAATTTGCCCTGTAACTTACAATAAGGGGATTTTGGCTGGTGCTGAAGAGAGGGGAACGCGCTCAAGTTGGGACAGAGATGGTAGAATTTATCGCCTTGCCGTTCTCGTTCCCAAGTAAACTTAAAATTTGGTCATTTCATGTCATAATTGTGCAGTGAAGGCGAAATGTGCAAAAAAGCGTGATTATAACGGCATCAGCAGACGACACAGCACATTTCAACGCACTTTAATTTGCAGTACAAACACGTGACACAGTTTGGTGTTGCGTAGTACAATATTGTGAACTGCAGCAATTGTAGTGGTAAAACCTGCATGACAAATTTATGAAAACATTTTGTTCGCTTACATGCAAAGCTGAATGTAAAAATGTCAAATCATGCTTACATTGTTGCTCGTCGTACACCGCTAGTAGATTGACACCGTTCCAATAAAACATGAAAGAAATTTCACAATAATTCGTAACATAATTCTAGGCGCTATAATGAAAGGAAAAAAAAGATTGACGTGGGTACCCTGTGGTGGGCCCTTTTTTATTTAGGCGATTAGATAGAAATGGTTCTATTTCGTTTAAGTGTATGGTCTGTAATCATTTTGTGGCATTGTCTGTCCGTTGCTGTGCGATAATTACCGAATTAGCGCGTTATAATGAAAAAAAAATTGACACTGCTACCCTGTGGTGGACGACGTGTTTGCAGTCTTCCTGTGGAATAATTAAATGAGTGCCCAAAGATTTTTTTGCAGATAATGTTAGTATGAAGTCCTGTCTTCTAGACGGTATGCTCCGGCATTGGAGATATTTTGGCCTAAACTTTGGAAATTTCAACAGTTTTCACCATTGAGTGACAGGGGGGTCTTGGCTGAGATGACTTGTGTCATAGGAAACGAAACATTTACAATAAATTGTCTTTGGGTGGGATAACATTCACTGAAAATATGAAAAGATTTGGTTGAATTCTTTCTGCCGTAGAGCGGTATACTTTTGACCAATTTTTATGTGTTTTTTGGTCATTTTAAAAAAGAAAAACAAGAGGGGTGGTCAACTCCCCCCGGTTTCGACCAAATTTCCTTAAACTTAGAGTGAAGTAGTTTTGGGTGGACCCCTTCAAACTGGCCAAGTTTCATCGAAATCTGTTAGATGGCTTGTGCCGCCCCCGCCTGGTCCTATCGTGGATGCACTCTCAACAGGTTTGAATGTGGATGGTAAAACGCAATGTTGCAAGACAAGTTCCACGCTTACGTTTTTTGCTGCCCGTTTTTCCGTACCTTTACGGCCAGTGGTGGACATAGTGGAGATAGTAAAATATGCTTATCATGTCCGTGGAAAACAACTCAAAAATTACAGCAACTCAGTTGCACGTCAAACCATAGCATAGCTTTACTACACATTTCCATATATTTCTTTAAGTTCATTTACGATCTTGGTGGGTAGCTTATTATCCTGATTTAACTGAAACGCCAAAAGGACGCAACGTTTGGGAAGCTGGTCCCTCCAGACCTTCCCCCTTTCTCTCCAGGGCCTCCATTTTGTCTCCCACCCTCCCCTCCAGTATTCCACCCACAATTCTTCAGTGTCGACCTTGAGTACTTTTCCTATTACAGGTAACTCGTCGCTGTCTTCGATGATAAGTGAGACAACATCTTCCTTTTTAAACATCTACAAAAAAAAAAACAACACAGACCTAAAAGAAATGAGGACGTGCAGTCATTAATTTTATAATAATAAGAAGGAGAAGAACAACAACAACGGATACTGACGTAGATCTCTATTGAAAAGGGACGTGCTTAAAGACATTGAACACGTTATTTTACTTTCTTTTCTTTATTTAGAAACTGACGTTTACGCTAGAAAATCAGATTTGACAAAACAGAAATGAATTGTTTTATTAATTGAAATGTTTTCGATCGAAATAGGTGTTTTTTAATCGAAAGTAATTGGAAATAGTGCTTTGATTGAATAGTTTTTTTTAAGCGAGAGTATTTGTAAATAGAAGCTTATAGTTAGCTTTGTTATCAGTAGAGTTCTAAAGTGATGACATCATAAATTTAAATGTGTGAAATTATGGATTTGTCAGGATAGTCTGAAAGAATAACATCCATGAGGCCTACTTGCCAAAAATTAGTATTTCGGGGTAAATCGTCTCTGAGATATTAGCCCAGTTATGCTTTGATGACTCCATACAGCTCCTTCTAAATTTGATTTTGGTCTAAACGTTCGGGTTAGGGTTAACCATATTCAAATCCAGTAATGGCATTTGGATTTTTTCCGTCTATTGCTTTTATTTATTTAATTTGATTCCTTACACGCAAACAGTTACAATTAATTACATTTCCAATTCCCCGGCCCTCACAATTAAGTCTAATAATTATCAATTGCAAAAATTTTACCTTACATTGAAACAGGTAACTATTTTTATTTAAAGAAGGGAAAAGAAGTGAAATAAAAATAAATAGAAAGGCAAAGTCCACAAAAATACTACAAATTGTATAACGCTAATCCCTTTATTACTATCAGTCGATCATGAATAACTGCTTAAGGTTGGCAAACAGACTGTCCTAAATTACCCAATCAGAACATACTGTAGTATAATTATTAGCAAAAGATTCTTTGGTCAAACGCCAATGTATTTGTGGCTGGCAACTTCACGACATTTTTCTAACGTTCTCGTCCTCAGACTCCTCTCGGTCAGTGTAACCGGAGTTGTCTTCGGAGGAGGCTAATTTTTGCTCAGACTTGGTTTTTATAATCCCTGAAAAACCCTATCTTAAATTACCGTAAATTGGGTAGTTGAGCTTCTTTACGTTGTTATTTGAGTCCAGGGGCTGAACATCACACATTGCACCACCAACTTGTTTTCTTTGTCGGAACTGTTTCTCCAGACAATAAACTCACGCTCACGATAAAGAACAGAACTGTTTTAATACTTCTAACTCCCTCTCGGTAAAGATCACTAACTCTCGCCATGTGCTTTTTTGCTGATACATCACTTCTTAAAAACGACATCCTATAATATCCATAATCCTAGCTCCCAGGCATCGTCGACCTTAGAGTGCGCCTGACTAGTTTACAAAGTAAAAAAAACGCGAACGAAACATTCTTAACGTCCGAGTATCAA